TTTTTGTTGTTTTTCCTGGTAGTAATTTCAACAGACACAAAGCTGCCTGACAGATCAAACTTTTCATATGTAACGTTGCAGGCTTCCCCCAGGCAGATTCAGCTCTCGTTTCTCTGGTTAAGGAAGTGAAATTTGCATATCAGCTCCAGATCACCTGCCAAAGAGTCTTTTGTACTGAGCCTTTCACGTGGACTTTATTTCGTTACTGAGGGTACAAGGCCTTTTTACAGTACAAAATCTTTTTTATCCTTTAATTAAAAGCCAAGTTTTGTCTAAGTGTTAGATTGCTTATTCTTTGTAGTGCACCTCAGAGAGGAAAGGGGTGCATACCGGGTCTCGCTGAAGAGCTGAAAACAGTTACAGAGACAGGAAACTGTTTCAATAGAGGCGGGCTTCCCCTTTCTGTGCTCCCACACAGCAGGCGTGAAGGATTATTTAAGATTACCAAGCATCTATGTGATCCGCTGTGAGGGCCCATTGCCAGTAATTTATTCAGTGCTGCCCAGTGGGTATTGAAGGAGGCGCTGGATGAAGCGTATTTGTGTTTCTCACTGTCAGTTACTCCCATGAAAACGCTTTCTAATTCTAACGCTTTGTACAAATTAAATCAGCTGCACAAAATATAACATTTAGTCTTCTTGTTAACACGATGAATTACTTCTACTGCTTATCTGGTGTAAGCACTGTGTAAGCATTGCCATTGAATGCTACCAAAAGAAGCCAAAACTACAGATTTTATAAAAGGTGTTTGTAGGCACCATGACATCATTTCCTTTTTTTGAAACAATCTTTTGAAACCGGATGTGACAGACGAGAGCTGATTTGAAACTTTGCATTCATTGGCTTATGACTTGTCAATAATTCGTCATTGCTGTTAGCCAATGTGCATCCTAGATACACCTTGGACTGACCAAAATGTATAAAATGGACCGATGTTTTGTTTTATTCATTTATGGTACTTTCACCTCCTTCAAACCTGACACATATAGGGACTACATTAGCTTATAGTCCCTTGAGGCTGGGTTTTATTGCCTCCCTGTCTCAAACGGTGCGTCTTTCACATGTAAGGCGATTATGTTAACTGCTACGCTGTTGAACCTACGCTCTCTCTTATTCAGTATGATCCAAAATGAGTAACTCAGCCTATTTAAGCTCTTCCAGAAACTGTTTACACAGGACAGCTCCGAAGGCTGTTACCCCATAGGTGGTCTTTTCAACCAGAGAAGTCCAACCCCAATGGCCATGAAAAAGGGTGGCCATTTAAGGCACTTCCCTATTGGTTTCACTCTTCAGACCATGAAATTACATCCATTTTTTAATAGTCTGCAGTTACCATGAGCCTGTTAAAGTGCTATAAAACATGCTAAACATAGACATTTTTTTTTAAAAAGGGGAAGGATAAGCATCAACATAGCTACAGTTATAAAACAACCAGCTTGATATAAATAGAGTCATTGCATTACATTAGTAATATGTGGATTTACTTTTCGAGATTAGTGCACCACATCAACTGCTAGTATCTCCTGTCCATATGTCGTCTACATTTTGATAGAAACCAAGAATTTTGTCCTTGTAACCGGTTGTAGGTTAAATGCATTGTTAGTGTTTTCATGGGACTTGCTGACAGTAAAAGTATACCTGAACCAGCCTGATCCTTTAAAAGCCTTGTGTCCTCAGAGATGCCCTGTGGACTAATCCACTCATGGGAGGAAGTCCTCTGGTCTGAAATTCCTGTTTAAGTGACTTGAAATGAACTCGCTGCAAGGAACTGGAACTACTGGACAGCACGCCTTATCTGACTGTAGGAGCAGCTTGTGAAGGAAATAATGAACTAACATTTATAGAGAGCTCTCAGGGATGGGCCCTGTCTACATGTGCAGTAGTAAAAATTAGTTTTAGAGTTGCGTTTTTTCCCTTTTTTCCACACAAAAAACTTAAATGGAAGCTTTTTAAAACCTCCGTCCACAGTGAAGACTCTCAATAGGGAAACAGGAGGAAAAGGTGTGCGCCTTTATTTCCTTTTTTTACAACAGGCTGGCTTCTAATTGGCCAGCATTCCTGTACAGTTAGGGTCACTTGTTGCAATTATGTCAAGCACCCTTGACATGTTTTTTTTTTTTTGCTTTTTTTTTTTTGATTTTTTTTCTGAACAAAAGCAAAGAATTCCAGTTTTAAAAGAACATCCGTGTACGTGTGGACCGGGCTACAGTTTGTGCTGTAAACATCTTCGTTGTGTGTCTCAGATCAGGGTGAAACTCATTGACAAAATAAACCTAAGTGCAATTTAAGCAGATTTAAGAAGACAATCTTGAGTTAAACTTTATTAGAAAAACAGCGGGAGCAAAGTCAATTATTTTTCTACAGAGGTTGTAATCCCTCCGCAATGACATGCTTGGTATTGATCAAGTAGATGATGCATTGTACTTGACTGAATTGTTGGATTTTTATCTATTTTTTAAAGTGGAATGATGTTTAAAGGGACAGAGTCTGAATAATTTTAGTGCTAATATATTGTAGTATTTCTTCTCTCCGTGTGTGGAAGACTGTAGGACTTGTAATTTCAGGGACCACTTAATATGTTAAATTAGACAAATCATTAAATGCATAGTTTGTTTCTCAATTAACTGTTTTAACTTTTTTTTAAGAATATATATGTCATCCATGTCCGTTGTTATCCAAACTGTGCTTTTTGCTTTGTTTCTTAACCATCTTTTACTATTTTAGCCTTTTATTGTCTTTTTTTCCACTCGTTTTGCCATCATGTAGTCAAAAACATCTAAACTTCAAAGTCCACTGGATCAAAAGTAAAAGTGTGGACACACAATCAGCAGGCTTAAATCATCGATCAAGGCAAACTACTAGCACAGCTGAAATATATTTTGTACTTTAAACATCTTACGAAGTAGGGTTTATTAATGTCCCAATAAAATATCTTCATAGTAAATCAGTCGGTGACAGATGTGTTTCATTTTTAAAAAATTTTTTTTATCGAGGATAAGACTGCATCGTCTCGTCTGCTGCTCAGGCCAGCAGGAGCCCGAGCGCAGGCAGCAGGCAGAGCACCACTCCCACCAAGCTGGGGGCAGTAACGGGCACGGCACTGTTGCACAGGTCGGTATCGCAGCACACGTTGGTGTAGTTGAAGGAGACCCCTGACGTGTATTTCTCTCCACTCACGTCGCACTGGGAGGCAACTGCGCAGCTTTTTTCGTACAACGTCAGCTGTAGTGGGCCTGTGAGAGCAGAGGAGTAGAAGGATATTATATTATTATTTTTCACATGGAATTTAAAGAGCATTCAATCCATTTTCTACACTTTTAATGGTTCTTGACACAGGACACTGTGCCTTTTTAGGAATAGTTCACTCGGCAAGTGTCGAATGCGAGGAAAAAAAATTTGACGCACTGATTAAGTATTATGTTTCCAAAAGTCTATCAGTTTTGGAAATTTGCATCTATTTGGACTCAAGGATGATCTGATTTTGTGAAAATCTGAACGTCAAAGGTCACAACAACCTAACAAAGCATGCATTCAGCCAGAACTCATGAATTCATAAATCTGTTTTGTCAAACTTTCCCACCAAAATATAACAGAATGACGTTTTATATCCTCATTTCTCAGCAAATCGAATATATTTTTCAATTAATTGTTATATAACATAAATGGAATCATGACTAATTGAGATGATATGATGTGTTTATGCTTAAATAGATACTGAAGTGTATTGTGTTTTATGCATTTTTTTGATAGTTTTAAATTTAACATTATGAATGCTTCAAAAACAGTGAAAGCAAAGAAAACTTTGAATGCCTGATTAGTTTTGCTTCTTAATTTTTTTTGCACCTGGATGTTAGCAATATAGACTCACCAGACACTTCATTAGGTATACCTGTCCAGCTGCTCGTTAATACAAATCTCCAATTAGCCAATTGCATGGCAGTAAGTGACATAGTTGTTGTTGCCAGGCAGTCTTATCTTAGTGTTTCACAAACTGGTGATTTGCTGGGATTTTCCCACACAACCATCTGCAAGGTTTACAGAGAATGGCCGGAAAAGATCAATTGTTCAGTGAGCAGCCGTTCTCTGGGTGAAAATGCCTCATAGAGACCAGAGGCTAGACTGAAGGAATCCATCTTTCCTTGTATTTATGGTTCAGGTTGCTGCTGGCGGTGGTGCAGTAATGTAGGAGATATTTTACCAGCTTATTATTGTCTAAACACCATATTGTTCCTGAGTATTGTTGTTAACCATGTCCATCCCTTTATGACCACAGTGTACCAATGTTTTGATGGCTGCTCCCAGCAGGATAATGCACCATGTCATCAAATCATCTCAAACTGGTTTTTGAACATGACACCGAGCTCACATTACTCATATGGAACGAGCGATTTTCATCACGAACGTTTAGCCGACAAATCTACAACAACTGTGCGACGCTATCATGACAGTATGGACCAAAATGCCTGAGGTATTTTGCCAAAAGCTTGCTGAATCTATGACACAGAGATTTAAGGAAGTTTGAACAGCAAAAGGAGATCAAAGCATAGAACTAGCAAGATGTGCATAGTGGAGTGGCCAGTGAGTGTAGGAAATCCAAAACTCAAAAAAAAAACAAGATATAAACAGAAAGGATAGCAGAGTCCAAAAACTGCAGTAGAACGAAGTACAGTAAAACAAGAGACAGCAGATTATTCATTCAGACTCTTCATCAGGCAAGCAAATTTAACTAGTTCCTCACTGGGATTGTTTTAAAATTACTCATACTGAAAACTGAGAGTAATTGTGGGAACTTTGTCCCCTGATGAGACATGGTAATCATTTTGCCCCACCCAGATAGCCCAGAGTGTTATTTTTAGACATAATTTGACATCACGGGTGCTATTGAGCTGACAACCGGCCCGATGAGAAAATGGTACAGAAGTTTGAAGGTTGAGTCATTCTTCTTTCTTCTTTCACATTTAAGTACCTGACGAAAGACAAGGCCCTGAGAAGCAGTTCAAAGAGCAGCCCACAAAGACATGAAACAGTCCTTATTGTATAGTTTATGTATGATCGGTGACCACAAGCTGAAAGGTTTGATTTATAAAAAGAACTTTAGACTTGGTCCTAATAGCGTCTTTATTGTCTGTTCACTGTAATGTGCATTTCTAAAAATGTTTCTCACAAATCTTTTATAAAATAAGGCTTTATTTTCCAGTTTGTGGCCATCATGCTTGAGACTCACTGAAATTAATCTAATCTAATAAATGCAGACAAATCTGGCTCTTACCTCGTGTTCCTGACGCTACGCTGGAGAGGCAGCGCTGGCCAGCTGGACACTCCACAGGAAACTTTAAGCAGTCCAGAGGAGAGATGGATGGAAACATACAGGTGTAACAGCGCAAACAGGCTGAGGGGCAAAAGCAGTGGTTGTTAGGCACTGTCAGCTGTACAGCTCTGGCAGGGATTGCAACAACAAGAGCTTAAAACTCTTAAAAAAACAGCTGACAGTCACAACATAAAGGATTTGGCTCTGAAAGATGATATTTGCGAACTAACAGTAACTGCAATTATGTTTGTTTCCAAAAGAAGCCAAATTGTTTTGTAGAAGATGAATGCATATTTTGATGTTGAAAAATAGACTTGTTGGTGCCCCCTGGTGGAATATCTTTGTAATTGAGACACTTTTTAACTTCTCTTCTAACTTATGCTTCTCTGCACTTCAGCAACATCTGATAATTACTTTTCTATCACCGACTCAGCAGACAACTGTCATAACAGAAACTCTAAGTACTTTTCATTTACTAGCTATACATTTTATGATGCCAACATGTTTCTATTCATAAGACAACAGTAAAAACACTGTAAAATGGGTTAAAGGTTACACTCTCTTTACTTTTCGTATTTCCAAGTGTACGATATTTACACAACAAATGTAAATATGCAAACAGCGCACTGTAAAATTACATTAGCAAGCAGCTTTAAGAGAGAGTAAGCAGAAGTCATGTGTCCTTCCTTCTGCATGTTCTACTCGGGCACCACCCTTTACCAGAGTTATTAAGTATACGATTAAAGATGTGCACTTGTAGTTGAGTAAGTTATTGTTATGATAATGTTTAATTTTGAGTTTATTTTATATTTATGAGTAAAACTAGTAAACTTTAAATTAAAATAGTCAAACTCAGAAAAAAAGCCTGACATTGGAGAATAAATAATTCACTTTTAGTTTAAAAATATCAGAGTACTTGTAGATTTTACATTTAACTCAAGTCAGCACTTTTTAAACTCTTCACATGTTGTGTACGATAAAGTTTAAATATGTAACTAAAATTGTAACTAAAGTAAGTGTGTTATGGGGTGACTGTAGCTCAAGAGGTACAGCGAGCCATCTGGGACATTGGTGGTTTGATTGCCAGCTGCTTCAGTCTCAGTGCCAAAACGTCCTTGAGCAAAATACTGACACAAGTTGCTCTTTGTTGGAGTGTGTATAAAACACAGTGTAATAGAAAAGTGTTATATAATAACCGCTCGATTTACCGTGTTAAATTTGTACTTTCCACCACTGAAAAACAAGAAAAAGTGCTTGAACTTTCAAAGTCTTAGACAAAATGTGTACTGGACTAAATGACTTATTTCATGTTTACCAGTCACATAAGAAAAATTAAAAACACTACCGACAACAAATCCAACATACTGAACTTACTTGAACTGATTTCTTCAACAATCTACACTATTTGAATCAAACTACAGTAGTGGAATATAAGCATACTCTACAAATCTCCTCTGTGTAGTATTTCCTGGCCTAAAGAGCTTCCTAATTAAAGGGATAAAACTCTCTTTATGTGAAAAGTATACCTGAACTCATCAAATCAAGTATGTTACCGTCCATCATCATTTTTCCTGTAACAGGAGATCTTGCACTAAAATGCATTAAAAATATGTCAGCTTTAAGAGAGTCAAATCTCAAATGTGCATGCAGAAAAATGTTAAACATCACAGAGTTTTGCTTCCACCAACCAAGCTCTGCAGACTTTGTCCCTCTCACTGACTTGAGTAATGGATCTCCAGTATTTAAAAGTATTTTATTTTTTCCCTTACATTACAAAAGCACCTGAAGACAATTGAATGTTTTTACATACCTGCCAAAGGAAGACAACACATGAGAATAATTAAAAGTTGTGAACGAGGCATGATGCTTCCTTAAAAGTCCCTTGGCTGATGTTTCGAGCTGGATTTTTCTAAACACTTCTTGTCCCAGGGCGTTACGACTCCCTAACTACTTGATGCGGTGCGTCCCCCAGCTCATTTGCAAATTACATTTATTTTCATCTCTGTTTCTTTCAATGTCTCCAATTATCTGATAAAAGGTGCCTCTTTATATTGCAAGCACCCATGTGTCACCTGAGTTTTTCCCTCAGTCTTTGCTGATTTGTGCTGTCATGAGCCTGAGGCGGACTCCTCCCTGAAACTTCTAATTCAATCTGGAGAGTTAATTGTGGACAGCATGGTTACAGGCAGTGGGAAAATGAAGAGTTATATCGTGTATTTGGTGAGTGTTTATTACTAACGATGCTCAGGAAGCTTTTGACAAGAATAACATCTTCACTCATTCATTCAGTGACTGCTGGTTGCAGGCATTTGTCTCTCTTGTGCTTCTGCCGCAGCATTTCAGTCAAGTTAAGGTCTGGACGCTGACTGGGCTATTTCATCACCTTGATTCATTTTTGTTTTGTTTTGTTTTGTTTTGTTTTTTAGCCTTTCTGTTGTCTAAGGAGCTTGGAAAGTAAAGCGTCTGGACTTCTTTAATTTTGTTGAAGACATTTCACCTCTCGTTGAGAAGCTTCTTCAGTTCTAAGAGCAAATGGTGAAGAGTCCCAGATTTTTAAGCCCTATAGGAGTGTCCTCCAAGAGGGTAATGAACCGCCTATATCACACGAGCCAAGGTGTGAAAACGGATGTGGGTCACAATCAGCCAAGGTTTCAGGTGAACCCATTGGGAAACCTAGCCTTTCTGTTGTACTTGGGATCATTGTCCTCTTGCACAACCCAATTTCAGCCAAGCTTTAGCTGTCAGAGCAATGGCCTCATATTTTACTACTTTAATACTTTGGTATATAGAAGAGTTGGGTTGCAAAACGAGCTCAACTCATCATTCTTCCACCACCATGCTTCACAACTAGTATGACCCTGTGACCCTGTGTATCATGGCCAAACATCTCCACTCTGGATTCGAAGACATTGATCCAGAAATCTTTTGATTTGTTCAGATGTAACTTTGCAAACCTAAACTGTGCTGTCCTCAGTCAGGACTCGAATTTGTGGGGGTTTTCTGACCTTGGGGTGAATTTTCTGCGTTCACTCCTGGGAAAATTGTGACACACCTGACCACCAGACCAGCAAACTGCCAAAACAGCTTTTTGTAGAGATGCTTACAGTTGCTGATGATCAGTTACCAAGTCCATTTGATGATTAGCAAACTGCCTGCTACTTTTAATTGCACAAGGAAGTTGTCTGAGAGTTCTTATCTTAGAAACGTTTTTCACAGGTTATGCAGGTCCCACAATAAAACCCTGCAGGACTAATTTAGTTTGCTCAAAATCAGTTTTATGGACTGTTGTGTGGATATAATTAGTTATAAACTGGTTGTTTTCTTGCTGTACTTGTGTGTATAAATAGGTTTTTTTAAAAGCCTAATTTTCCTGTGAAGTTGTAATTTATTTTTATGTGCAGTGTCATAAATTGCACGGTTTGCTAACATGCAACTGCTATTAAAAAAAAAAAAAAATTTAAAAACTGCAATAAAAAGGGGGGAAAGGGTTTCTTAAGAAATATAATGTGAAAACTTCAAGTTTTTAGTGATTTTGTTTTGTTAAATACTCTTTGTCATCTAGCTCCATAATTCTTGTGCCAGTTTTGTTTAGTTAGAAATTCTGGCCTCTATCTGAGCCATTTATAAAAGAAAAGACATTATGTGTAACTGCATGAGACAGCAGCTGCTGTAGAGAAAAGATGAGCACCGATAAAGTCAGCACGGTGCAGAAGGAGTCAGCAGACAAACAGAGGGAGAAAGCCAGCAACTCAGAGACAGCGGGTCAGTGAGCTGCACAGCGAGCCTGTTTAAACAAATTATCCTTCAGGGTATAATGGGAGACGTGAGGGCAGCAAGCAGGACGGTCTGCTGACAGCAAGTCTTGTGATGGAGCGAAACGAGTGGGCTCAGACTGAATAAGCTCTTTACCAGTTGATTAATTACAAGCTTAAAAAAATCTTCCTGGAAATATTGAGGTTTTTGTTCATTTCTCTTGTATTTTTTCAGTTACTTTTGTCTGGATGCAATACTGTATGCAGAAATAATCCATGGGCATTGCTGAGGCATATATGACATTGAGAGTTTATGACCTGTGATGCATTTTGGAGGCATGTATGTTTGCTGCTAAAGCAATAGATTTTTGCATGGAGTTTGGTGTGACTTTGTTTCTGTCCATTTGTGTCTTCATTAAATGATTTGCATATAACCTACAAAAGAATCCCCAGAACTAGTGCCAAATAAAAGTATTATGGGATTAAAGGTCCTTTTCTTTTGTTCAAATTCGCAAGCATTCATGTCGTAAAACTTAAAAATACAAGCCTAAAGTGACTCACAACTGAGTCCATTCATGTTTGTGCAGACAGTGTTAATCCTGCATTTGATGGGGATGTTTTTTTGTGTGTCCTGGCTGAAGGATCTCAGTGGACAGATGGTGTTCTTTAATCCTGTCTGTCTGTGCCCTCTACCTCCCATCCTCCACCCTTTTTTACATCTATTCATTCTGCCGTTTACATCCAGGTTCTCATTTTCAGCCTTTTCTACACACCGGAGACGAGCTCCTGCAGCTTCCCTCGTCTTCCTCGCTGCAGCAGAAAATTTGGCTCCTGGTCCTCCTCCTGCAGTAACTCAATCTAGTCACTAGAAGGAAATATTGTGCAGCCTTGTTAGACAGAAAAGTCACATGTTTACAGAAGGCCTGCATGTTTACATCACCTCTGAACATCACGAGTTTCTTTAGAAATACTGGATTATTAATTATAAACACAAATCATGGGTAGTTTTTCGGAGGTGGGGTGTCTGATGGGACAACCTGTTAATCCAGCAATCACATCACTGACCCACTTTGAGGAAAGCCAGATTATTTTATTTATTTATTTATTTATAAATAAATAAGTAAATAAGTAAAATGTCAGGAGGATAAAAACAAAGATGGCTCAGTAATTCAGCATATAAATCTTTGATTCGCTTTCAGACAGACCACATTTATATTTGTATATAAAGCACAAGCCTGACCCTTCATAAACAATTCATCAGGATTATAGCAGGGATGGGAGAGGGGGAAAGGGGGAGTCCATAATCCTAGAAAAACCTGACTTTAATTCTGTGTTTTAATGCGTAGGAGCACCAGTGTGGCAAAAATAGGAATTTTCTGGGCATTTTTCAACAAGACATCCGCCTAATGTTATATTAAACTAGTCTAAATTACGCATTTGTTAGTAACACCAGATAGGTTGAACAAGTCTTCTAAATGTAGCAATTACGTAGGTTAACAGTAACGGCGGTCACAAATGTACTCACAAATTAAGAATATGTTTATATTAACTTCAAACAAATTAAATTATGTTTTGTTAACGAACTCGAAGAAAGTGTAAATTAAATTAAAACGGTAGTAACTTTGCAGTGCAGTTGCCACTAAAAGTGCAAGCGCCAGAACAGCAGCGCCTGTGATAAATCACCGCTGATTGAATCCGGGTAGGACGTGTGGGGGATGGGGAGGGGAGGTGGTGGGGGACGTGAGCGTCAATAGTCGAAAATAAGACCGGAAGTACCTTGGAGGTGGCGTTAAAAACTATGAGCACGACCGTTGGCATATTATTATTTTTTTCATCTACAGTGTATACATAGTGTAAACACACTATCGCGCGCTATTTTATCGCGCGCTATTTTTTGTATTAAAGTTGCAATATGGTACAAACGACGCGACACAGTTCAGGTAAACCAATGCTGTCTTATTTTGAAATTTGCCACCGGAAACATGCCAATTCACGTTCGCCGTCTTGACGCGATAGCCATTCGGCAGAGAGAAAAGAGCTGGAGAGTAACGGGAACTCGGCTGCTTTGGAAATTAAATTAAAATAGAGGGAAAACGGCGACGAAAGCGGATACCCGGGACCTAAAACAGGTGAGCTGGCCTAAGTGTAGAGCTCTGTTTGTTATTTGTGCGACTCGGGGTGAGGGTGTTGCTGTTATTTTGCCGATTCAAGAAAGATGGGGAACATCATGAAAAGTATTTTGGAAGAGAGTTGAGTTGCTGGGGCGGTGCACTCCTGCAGCCCCACAGCCTCAGGATGTTTTGTTCTGCTTGTGGTTGAAGTTTGTACTGATTAATACAGCTGGTAAAACTCAAACAAAAGCTATACGAGGTAGAAAAATTCAACATGGAAGTAGTGATTATAATGTAGTTTGTAAATATTCGGTGTTCAAGTATCCATTAATATTCTCCATGTGCTGCAGCCAAAGTCAAGTGAACATCAAAGCCCAGCACTTGTTGCATAAGTTATGAAGCAGATTTAAGAAACATCCTGTGTGCAGCTCGCTGTGGGCGACTCCTGCCAGTTACAGGGAAGATGATAAAAGGGCAATTGTCCCAAATCTAACCCACTGTCCAGATATGAAGAGGCTTTGCAGCATATTGGAGGGCTATTGAATAATGATTCCTTATAATCTGACCTTGAACAAAGCTCCTTTGTCTCCTTTCAGCCGTGCTCTTTGTCTGTGTATTATTTCAGCTGTCCTTGGATGTTTTAATGGGGAATAAACTATTTTTTTATTCCCCTACAGAGTAAATAAATTACAGATTTTTAGGACCATATTTCACTTTAGTCCAGTGCCAATGAAAGCATGTAGGCAGGGATGTGACCCTCTAATGTTTTATAGAAATTGATATTTTTGTTTGTTCTTGCCTTGGCCTTGATGTATCCGTCTTTTTCTTTCTTAGGCTGGTAGTATTTGCTTCCCATGTTTGGGATAATAGATGGTGAAGTCCCTAATTAAAGAAGAGGCAAAGACCAGGCTGAAGATGCTTCCCATTCTCTTTCTGGATCTACTTCTTCACAAGCTTAGTGTAGTTTAGAGCATTTGTCCTCCGGCGTCTTAATAATACCGAGACTGCGAGAGAGGAGACCACAAACACATAAACGTTCACATCCTTTTATTGCCTCTTGTTCCTCTCCTGGCAGAGCCAGCTTAGTGAGATTTTTGGCACCGCCCCAATATTTGCTACCACATTATTGAAACCATGGCAAACA